ATTTTTAGAGCTGTTGTCTTTACTATGATAACAGCAGAGTGACAGGAGATAAAGACCTAGCTTGACATTGTTTTAATGGGAAGCTCTCTGTTATTCTGAGCAGGATGTAAGGAATTGTGATGGTGGTTTAAAATACACACACCTCAAAATTCTCAATAATTTTACATTTCTGACACCTTTTATGTTTTTAGTAAGTACTAAGGCTGCTATCCTTTCTTCATTATAAGCCTGTCACTGAAGCTTGTTTAGGAATAGGTATCAGTAAGAGCTAGAAATGTGGAACTAAGCAATTCTTCACATGCTTCTTCATTCAAGCGACAACGTTCATAAATCAGTTCATAGACTAATTTTAAGACAAAACTTCAGTTATGCTTCTGTTGTTTGTTCCTCTTCTGGTTTGGAGGATTGGTTTTCAATTGTTTTGCTTTGATGGAAATGACAGGATTTTTGTGCCAGTTCATGCTTCTGTTGTGGTAGGTCACAGCATTTATTATCATGGTTTTGTAAGTTAGTGTAAATGGCTTTGCTTCCTTCCTAGTGCTTACTCTTGCTTTGTCTTTATAATGATTACTCATATTGCCTTCAGCCACTGTTTTCTTCTTTATTGTTGTTGGTTTTGCTTTGTTTCTTTTTTGCTAGGGAAAACTGAATCTCCTTAAAATGTAAACTGAGCGTGATTAGTTGTAATCGGGGCAATAGACCTGCAGGGGTATAAACGTGGAGTCCAGGGCTGAGTTTCAGTACTTCTGTGGCCTGAGGGAAAGTGAGACTAAATCCATTGAGCATGTTCAAGGAGGGGTGTTTCTGTTGCTTTCTGAATGCTCTCCGTGTTACTGTGTGTATGTACTCAGTGGTGCCTCTTCCAGCTGCATTATTACTCCAATTCTTTGGCACCCCAGAATTTGCCTAGAAAGACCTATATAGTAAGAAGGTGATGCTTCCCGCTTGCTTTTCACTTCTCCCCCCGAGCTGTGTAAGAAATCTGGCTATAGGGTCTCATTCCTTCCCTCTGCTGTCCATGTGAACGAGGAAGAAAGAATTACATTCTGCCTACGGGTGGAATAGTTTGGGAAGTCACAGACTTTGCCCCTGTGAACTGGCAGGGTTTCCTACTCATTGCAAGAGTACTCCCCATCTAGGTGATGATTTGTCTCAAATTTAACTTCTGTTTTTTGTAAATATGCAGAACTACCTGAGGTGGGTTTGCCTTGTATTTGGTGTCAGTACATACGGAGCGAACTCCTGAAGCCTCTCTTTAAAACCTCATTTCAAAAAGTTTAAATATTAGCTTGAATTAAAATAAATGTAAGTGTTATGCTGAGAGTAAATGAGACTTTTTTTTGGGGGGGGAGGTGTAGAATCCTTAATATCATTGAGAAGTCACTTGTTAAAGCATTTTTAATTGAAGTAGTACAGCTTTGTTATGGTTCATGGAAACCATAGAATTGTGGTGAAGTGTACTCCGAGTGTTGTCTTATGATGAATATAGGTTATATAATGCTAAGATTAAGTAGAATCCTTCCTTTAATTTTTCCAGGAGGAATGTATCCGTGCAAGTAATGCACTCTAGCCTTTTCCCCATAAAACTTTTATCTGGTCCAGGCTGTGGTTGGCTGAAAGTTACTGCCATACAGTGTGTCCTTTGGCTTCCTTGAAGTAAGTTTGCTCTCAGTCTGGTTGCAGGTGGGTAATTGTCCACTTTGCACAAGCTGCTGCTGTAATTGGCAGGTTTTGGCAGTCACTGCAGAGCAGTCCTGGGCTGAAAATCTGCAGTCTCTGTGCACATCCTTTGCTCTCCACAGGTGATTTTGTCCAAGCCAGAGCTGAGGTGCATTTCGCATTTGTGTGTGTATAAAAATATATCTTCACCTGCTTTCTTGGAGGATACAATGTCATGTAAGTGGTTTCTCTTTTCATGACCGAACAAAAGAAAACCCAGGTAGCGGGTACCAGGCAAGGGAACGTAATTCTGCTGTGCTTTAGGAGGTACTGTAAGAATGAACACCTTAAAGCCAGTACAGAGATTTGAGTTGGTCCTTGCACTAGCAAAATACTGCTTTTAAAAGTAGATGTATCCATATACCCACTCTTTAATTTACATATTTATCTATGTAGTTTTATTCTGCACACACACACACAGAGAAGGATCTTGAGGCCAGAGAAGGTAAGAGCAAAGACATGCAACAAAGTCTTCTGGAATTGACTGTGTGTTTTCCCTGTCTTTCAACTTACCATCTTCATGGAAGGAGTTATTTTTATTTGCCTATTTGGAACTTGACCAACAGCTTGCTTAGAAGATCGTTAATGTATCTATGTTGCTGGAAGCCATAATGCTCAGCAGTGTATGTGGGCCTTTTAACTGTTCCTGAGAGATATGAGTAATGTGGCAGAAAATGACATTCACAGTAGTAATTAAGGGTCTTTAGTATGCTCGTCCTTTGTACATTAACTGTTTTTTGTTTGTATGTTTGTAACAGAAGTGTCAAACCTTTTTCTAGAGGATTACATTCCTCTAGTCTCTCAGTCTTGATCTCATTAACAGCAACATGGTATGAAGAAACTAGCTAATGAACTACTTGTCTGCAGACGGTAGCATTAGCAGGTCCTCTGCAGCTCAAATTATGTTAGAATTGTCTTTAATATAAAATATTTTGTGCAAAGTCATTGGGGTTTTCCTCCAACAAATAGCTCTTATAAATCGGTGTTGCACCAGAGAGTAAAATGAACAGGTTTTGTGTGGAGGGACTGAATCAAGATGCTGTTCTTGGCATTTGCAGTTTTTTTCGCGCCTTCCTTTTGTCTCTAGTGCAACTATTCATCCTCTGAGAAGGAGTTGATTCCTGTAGTTCATTTTCATCATGTACTATTTAAATGAACTGTGTAGTGAGGCAGTAGGCCCTGTTTTCTCCTGGCAGTGGTTGGACCATCTCATTTATTGCTAACCACACGACTTTTTCTGTGCTTGGAAATTGAAGAGGATTGTTTTAGCTTCGAAGTTTGGGAGTGCTTGTGTTGCAAATATGAATGTTTGTATATTGCCATGAATAAAGCCTCAGCTTACATGTACTTCTTCAGAAGCTATAGAGATGAGAAAATAAACAGATCAAAAGGTGGCTAATTTTTTCCCCCAAAATTTATCTGTAGTATAGTTCAGAATTAGTCACTTTGAGATTTACCTTGTCCAGAAAAGCATTTGTGTAAGTTAGCTGTTTGCTCCCATTCTGATAAGTTATTGGAGTTTACAGTACTGTCATGGAACTAATTTGGGCACAGTATCTCCCCAAGCAGATAACAGCGTAGACCCTTTTCTGCCTCACTTGCGCTGGCACAGCTACTGAATATGCTATTGTGTGAGGTTATAAACCAGATAATCTTAATTGGGCATTTCCTGAGCGGAAGGGAGGGATGGCTGTAAAAGGAAAGAATTGGAAATAAGGGCCTGCATTGCTAATATACAAATCTGGCTTCCATCCAGGAAAACGGGAGAATTTCCTGTGAGTTAAAGTCTTCCAAAAGCTGAAAGCCTGGAGATCCATACCGCATACCTCGGGGAGCCGGAGGAGGGGAGGAGGCTGGGAACAGCGAGTGCGTGAAAGCCCTGGGGACCCGGTTGCTGCATGGTGTGGTGGGATGAGGAGCGCGAGCAGCTGGGTCTGGGGCAGCTGTAGCACCAGCGGACCTGCTCTTTTGCCTGGCCAGGGATTCGGGTCGCCCTGTAGCAGTTGCACCAGTGGGATCTGGTGTCGTAGAGCAGGTCCTGAAGCCTTTTTAGAGTTGAGTCAAATGCAATTCAAGCTGCATGGAGTAGGTGTGTGTATGTGATACATATATGTGTGCAAGTATAACGTAACACATTTGGTGCTGTACTGCAGATATACATGGAGTCTTGAATCACTAAACTGGAGGATCTGTGCAGTAGATAAACAGTGGAATCTGTCATGTAAATTTGAGGAAAGGAAGGCAAACCGAAATGGGTACAGACAAATAGGATCCAACAGAACTGAAGTGGATTTCTTAGCGCCAGTGCTTGCACCTGGTTCCATTGGAATAATCTTTTTGTATCTGCATTTGAAGAGAGGTTGCTTATTAAATTGAATTAAAGTACAGTGAGTTATAATTTGGAATTTGAACCTCTACTAGTGTGAGGTTGGAAAAAATAGGGAAAAAAAAAAAGAGCTGTGTTGAAAAAAGGTGTCAGCTTCTTTGTTAGGACTGCTAGTTGTGTTCTGAATCTTCCCTCACTGACCTGATTTAATTAGCATACGTTAGTGTAGATGCTTCAGGCACTTGTGTATACTCACATGCTGCCTTCTTCATTTTTTAGCTTTGCTTACTGTAAGGTGAGCTCTTCTGGGTATTTTTGGGAAGCCTTTGAGTGAATTATGATCATACTTGTTTAGAATATGTATTAGTGTTTGTGGACGTTTGAGGGTCTGTATGCTACAGTCACTTCAGCTCGATTTAGCTCAAGCTCCAGGAAGACTAAAGCTTCTAGGGCAGATGTAATCAGAAGGAGCATTGATAGGAGTAAGGAGGGTGGCTCGGTTTGTGTGTAGAAGTCTGTCCTAAGTATTGTATTCAATATTAGTTACGGTACAGAAGAGACTTAATTGTTTAGCGGTTGCATTAGAAACTGATCTCCAAACTTCAGTCACGGGTAATAGTAAAATAAAATTATTATTTTTTAAATCATCCTATATGCCACAATATCCTGTACTAAAGGAATATAATTCAAAACAAATAAAATTTACTCGTTTTGACTTTTGCAGTCCAGTACATATGCACTAAATTAAAGGTACATCACGAATTAAGTAATACCAACTCTCTGAATATGGGTACAATTGTATTTCATAAAATTAAGTGAAAATAAAAGCAAAAAGAATATTGAATCTTGCCCCCTGATGAATGAATGAGGAAAACACTCAGTAGTTGCCTGCACTGTCATTTGTAATGGAAAGGAATAGAATTACCTGTGTTAATACAGTTTAATGGATGGTAACATGTCGTCAGTATAACAGTAAAGGAGAATCATGGTGAAGTTAAACATGCAGTTGCAAGAAAGGTCTGTACACGGTAACGACGATGCAGTTATGTTGGATTTGAGAGGATGAGAGGAGAATGGTGGATGTATGGAAGAGAAGGCCACCAGCCGAATGGTGTGTTAGGGAGTTTTTAGCTGCCTTATGCAGTTTCAGATTTGTTTCTGAAGACCTGTTAGTCTATCGGCAGGTATTAAGAGAACACATTGATCAGCGGAAACAATTTAAGTTATACTTTTTTTGTTGCTTTCTTTTTTTCTAGGAAGGTAAGTGTGTTGTCATTCTTTAACTTCTGTGTGCTTTGAAATAACTCAATTAGAGATTAATGGCAGCTTGTCCACGTTTACTTGAAGAGCCAGTAATGTCTAAACCAGGTGTCTGTGCCCCTAGAGCAGTTCAGCTCCATATGAGGTATTCAGAATAACTGTTAATTTTCCTCTAAATTTCTGTCACTTGTAATTACGATGCTTATGGGTTCTCTGTGTTGTTCACTTAATTACAAGTTAGAAATTTTGGAGCTGAATGCCGTAAACTCTTGGCCTTCAAAAGCATATTTAGGTACTTAATTCATCTTTTGATGAGAAAGGAGCATCTCTGGGCCTGGTTCTCATCTGTTAAATGTGTATGACCTTGGGAAGGGAGCCTTGAACCACAGCTTTACAATGGAATACTGAAATCTGGATATAAACTACAGATGTCTAGGTTTATAAGTCACAGCTGTGCTCATAAATTAACAGCCAATATTTTGAACTGCTAAGAGATTGTTTGTTGGTAAACTATGTCTCTTCCGTCTTTTCCCAATCCCTGTGAACAATGAATATCTTCCAGTCAGACTTTCCAAGTGTTGTATATATTGTGGAAGATACAGAAACCTGTTATAACTTGTACTTATAATAATTTATAGTGAAAACTATTTTCTGTTTTATTAACCATCATGTTGGTAGAAAATACAAGAAGAAATACATTTTTCTGCTGTGCACTGCCCTAGAATTGCTCCTGCTAGTTTTAATGCTGTTGTAATTACTTTTCCCAGATACTCTATTTCTTCATTTCTCGCCAGACCCAGGGGCAGGAAAGCATCTTCACAGGGGCAACAAGTCCTGCCTTTGTAAATGCTATGCAGTGCACAGAGTAAACAAATGAGGGGCTGAGGGATGGGGATAGAGTGGGAGTGAGTTTTCCTGTATCACTTCACTTTTCATAAATGAAGGGAAGGTTGTGTACGTAATTCATAAACATCCTGAACTGTACGCCTTCTATTTCAACTTATTAGGGCATGAAGTAGTGCCTGCCAGGTTAATTTCACACTGGGGAATTCAGCAGTCATGCAGCTCATAATTTCCTCCTCTATACAAAAGCTGTGATAAGGAGAGAGTAAGGGTATTTGAATATTTGATACCAAATAATTCATTTTAAAGAGAAGTATTTTAGAAGTAGCCGCAAGACAATTATAGTTGGTATTTTAATTGAATTTGGAGAGTAATATGAGAATGTTTATTTGTCACTGGTAGGAAATATGCTTTTCGTCTAGCAAGCAAAACCCTGTACTTTACAAAATCTTCTCTTTTGTAGATGAAATTATTATTTTGAATTCAGGATGTGGTGGGCAAACAATAAAAAAGAAAAACCACTTGCAAATACCACCAAGCTTTTTCTCCTCTTGCCATCTGCCAAAGGAAGAATGGAATTTGTTAGTATGGAACAATGGTCAGTCCTCTGCATTTTCATGGTTTTAATGGTTAACTGGAGTTCAAGGATTGTTCCAGCTTAGTGCCTGCTTTTTGCTTCTGTGATGTGATATCTGAACATGAGCAGAGGGAATCATCTGTTGACTCTAAACAGGAGTGGGACCAGAATTTTTTTTTTTTTAAAGTCTCAAAATTTTTATGCTTAGTGAATATTTAAGAATATTTAAGTGAATATTTAAGAGACCCAGAACCTCTTACGATTTTGTAACTGCAAGTGTTACTTTAAACTCAGTCATGAATGCTGACTGATTTGGGAGAGTTGGATTCACCTGGGCTAGGAAGGTGATTAAGATGGATTCCTAAGGTTTTGCTTTAGTCTTGGGAAACTCTGGTTTGTGTGGACAGTTTTATAGTCTTTCTCTTAAAACACCTAAATGATAAGTAAAGATGAATTTCTTAGTTTTGAGGTTGGAATGGCTAGGAATTAGGTATGTTAAGGAAGTAGTGGGGTTGAGAATAATCAGGAGCTGAAGAAATTGGTTTAGGTGGGAGTTCAGTCAACTGTTCCCCCTACTGCTCTGAAGACCAAACTATAGAGTTTTGTTTGTTTAGGAGGGTCAGTTGTGGCTTTATATAGGCTCCCTAAACACATGTTGCTTAAGCTCACCCATCATCAATTTTTTTTGTTTAAAAAAAATGCACCAAAGCCAATAAACAAAACTATTACATTTGGAAATTAAAAATGCGCAAGTTCCATAAACCAAGACAAACTTGAATAATGAAGGCTGTACCCCTTTATGATGCATAAAGCTTATATGGAGATACTTTTAATGTTTGTATAGTGGCATACTCTTGTAAGTAATTGGTTTTGCTGTTATTTGGCGCTTATCTTATTTGATGATCTGTTTTTGTTTTTAGCACCAGCAAACATTTTTAAATCAGCTGAGGGAGATCACTGGTATCAATGATGTCCAGGTACTACAACAGGCACTGAAGGTAAGATGGGTGTGTCTGACTTGTAGCTGAATGTATACATCTCAAGTGCCTGTGAAAGCCATAAACCCCACCCTTTCTTACCTGCGTCTTCCCTTCCTCCTCCTCCATTTCCAACTTGAGTACTCTTTAGATTTATTTCAGGGGGGAAAAAAGCTAATAGTGATGGTTTGTCTACTTTAGAAGGAATCTTCATCTGTTTCGGTACTGACATAAAAATTAATCTGGTGTTCAAAAATGAAAAGACAGGAATGGTAATGACTTGCCTTTAACCTTTGGCTAGAGTGTTTTGAGATACCTTGGTGCTGCTACAGCTGGTCGACTCCTGGTGAGTTAAGTGTTGTTTTATTTTCAAGGTGTAGTTAAGTTTTCTGTCGTGGACAGGTCCTGCTCAGTATGCAGAATGAAGACCATTCCTTGAACTTGCCATCCTTTGCTAATTTGCTGTTTCACTGTTTTTTCAACCATTGTAATTTCTTTCACAGCATGGAAGAGTTCTTTGATGCAAGTAAAGAATGGCAGGTCTCTCTGTGTTTTGTTTCCCCAAATACCTGTATATAAATAAAATAAATGCCTTGTCTCCCTCAAGCAGAGAGCTTTTTAGCCATTTATACATAGTTAATGAGGTTTTAGTGAATTTGAATCATATATATATAGTTATAGATATAATTATTGCTTCAGATTCAGCATAAATTGCGTAGACAACTGCCCCTCAGAAGCCAGTATTTCTGGCTTTAGAAATGAAATGGTAGATTTTCAGAGAAATTCAGCTGACTGCTGTTGAAGTCAGTGAGAGCGTGCTGATTATGCTTGTTGAGGGTTGACCTACACCACAAGACCATTAATTATTTTCTGAAGTAAGTGGAATTCTACCAAAGTAACTTTTTATGAGATGTTTTATCTTTATTTTGGTTAAAAATAGTTAAGTATGCAGAATATGTCAAGTTTGGAAACTTTCTTTTCTAATCAGTATTTCACCTAAAAATACAATGTGTCATTGATCTTATAAGTTGCTTGTAATGTCCTTTGTTAAGAAAAATCTAAAAAGGGTGAGAGGACATTCAGCTCTTGTTTTGTTGATACTCGAAGGACAGCAATGGTAATCTGGAATTGGCTGTGGCTTTCCTCACTGCGAAGAATGCCAAGGTTCCCCAGCTAGAGGAGGCAACTTACTATCAAACAGCCCTTCCCGGAAATGACAGATACATCAGCGTGGGCAGCCAGGCAGACACCAGTAGGTATTTTTTCTTTTTGTAAGTTTGGTTTAAAGGCAAGGAAACTAAAAATTTGCCTGTGAGATGACTGTTAATCTGATGATTATTCTTACTTAACATTTGTTAGGTTGTTACGTAGTCTTTCTTACCTTATTTCAGTGTTGTTTTTATTTGAGCTATCCTTAAGCATTACCTTTACATGTATGTATGGTACTGATCAGAGGGTGAATAACTGGGTTTTCAATCGACCCCCCCACCCCAAATTCCGGATTTATTATGGGGTCATACAGTAAGTAATTAAAGACAAAACTGGGTACTCTTCTGACAAAATAAGGTAAAACTGGAGAAGAGTATGTGAGTGTCTATCTTAATATGCTAAAGCTTAATACATTTAACAGTAGCTTCTCCCTGACAGGGATGACTTTCCCAAAGGCAGAAGTGAGAAGTTAGGTGTGCATTTTATAGTAAAAGAGTAGGTATTTTATATGTGAAATTAACATTAAATATACTTAATTTTTAAAAAAATGCTTAATTTATATAGGAGGTGCCACAACCTGTATTTCTCTGAGCCTTACAGGTCCTATTCCTTTGCTTAAGTCTATAGTTATTTTTTATGGGTGGGGAAATATGTGTTAAATGTTAAATGTGTTAAACATATTAAATGTGTTCTGCAAATAAATATGGGAATAACATGAACGAAAAAGTCAAAGGAAGTTTTGTAGTGGGATTGATTTCTGTAAAATCAGAATTGCTGGATACTGTATTTACATTTCAATGTTCTAAGCATAGATGTAGGATATTCTAATTACATATTGAACCTTGGACCATATATGTAGTACGTCTATGTAGCTTTTATTAAATGACTAGAATTATTTAGCTTCACCCACAGTAGGGTTTTTTCCCCTTCGTTTCACGAATAATGGGGTGGCTACGGTGGCATCATTGTAAAGAAGCTGGATCTCCTTGTCCTTTTTGTCCTTTTGTCTCTGGCTCCTTGACATAATCATATGTTTTATTTTTTTAGAAAACTTTTGTTTAGATTGGAGATGAATTTATTCTTAACATCTTGGATCTGAAAACTGTGTTTTAATCGTTGGTGTTACTAGTGACCCTGTATAAAATGCTCTGAGTGCATTATAAGTAGTTTTATTATCTCCACAACTAAGTTGTGGGTGGTGGTTTGGGTTTTTTGTATTTTTTTTTTCTTTTCCCTTCTTTGGAAACAAAACACGCAGAAACGCCGGTCTGTATTTAATTTTCAATGTCAGAAAATTGACATTGAGGAAACAGAGACTATTTTCAACAACTTTACCACTGTTGTCATAGTCTCCAGTACTGAAGATGTACTATGGCAGTAGAATAGTAAGCTGGAATCTCTTTCAGTCTGTGTTTAATTAGATTTATTAGCAATCCCATTAATAAAACTGTTTAGTTTTGCTGTCACTTACTGCGCTGTGCAACTTTATTGAAGATATGAGGTGACAAGGGCTATGAGAGGGAAGAGTCAAGCCTGCAGAGTCTACATTACCCATGAAAGATGGTCGAGCTGAAAAGAGTAAGTCTTGAGTTGCACATTCCAAGCCGAATTTCAAAATTCTGTTGTCTTTTCTGGAGGGCTGACGGCAGACCCAGATTCCTTACCTTACAGTTATATAGCATTACAAGTCAGTAATAAAGAAGTGCCAACTGCTGTGGAAAAAGCAGACATGTTTTTGTGGTTTTTTTTTTTTTTTGGTTGGTGGCTTTTTTTTTTTTTTTTTTTTTTTTGTTTTTTTTTTTTTTGGTTGGTGGTTTTTTTTTTTCTTTTTTTTTTTTTTCTTTTTTACATTTTCAGTTTCTGGTCAGGTCCTCACTGACAGCAATGGTGAGAGGCCTTTGCCAGCCTTTGCTCTTTTAGTTAGACTGAAAACATGTTTTGAGGTAAAGGCATCTTGGCCAACTTTTCTTCATGTTGGAGGACTCATGGTGCAAGAGCTAAACACCTACAGCAGAATAAAAGTCTAAACCAGTCTGATCATAGAGCCAATAGAGCCACCCCCTGCGCCCCATAGAGATCTAGTGAAAGGTTCTTGCGGAAACCTACAGTTCTTATGTTGTAATCTACTTGCCTGTAATTATTTTGATTATGAATTTTAAAAATGCAGTATGCTTAAAATGGATCTACGTTAGTAAGTATTGTCATGGAAGGGAGTATCATGAAAGACAGCAGGTGACTTGGGAGAAGAGAATGCAAGGGTGGGCATAGATGGAAAACATTCAGCAATAATAGCTCCAACCATCAACACCCCTTTCTGCAAAGAACACTATTAGCTGTTCTCAGTAACTATGCTCAGTTGCTGACAGGATCTTGCCTTTCAAATTTGACTTGCTTTTACTATCCCACGTGGGTATAATTACACCCTTACTGTTCCTTGCTGCTTAACTACCTCTGTGCATATGAAACTTGCGATGTTATGAATCACCAAGCTTCGTGGTCCCACCAAATTAAGTCATCCAAACTGAGGATGAGAGAGAGTTACAGATAAATATCAGAACTGTTTTTTATGCCACAGAAAACCTCCAGCTACCTACAAAGGCATATGAATGTACGCCCTGCATAAAGGAGTATCAAAAGTATTCTGTGAACTTGAATGCCTACATTTCTTAGAAATAGTTACTTAGTTAAAGGGTAAAAAAAAAATGTGTATGTATACCTTAACAGTCAGAGATTAGCCTGGATTTTGCACTGACTCTTCCAAAAGTGACAGCGGTCATTCAGCTGTTTGAGAGTTGCATTCTGGATGTTAGGAGGTATATGGAAACCTGATTTCTGTTATTAGCAAATGCAGCATTTCAACAGCTGTGAAAATAGTAAGGGGTTTGCGTAAAATTTACTCCATCTTTAAAAGCAAAGGCTGACTTGCACAATGTTATTCATGACACTTGCCTTTTTGCTGGTTCAAAATGACGTGCAGGCACCTGTAAACATAGCTTTTTCACGTTAAGAGTAGTGCATGCTTTATCTGATCCCTTTGCAAAGGTGGTGTTACTTTTGGTTTGTTGTTTGGGTTTTTTTCCTTCCTGCAATCTGTTAGTGGACAGAAAAGGCTTAAGCATCAGGGTTGCAATGTACAAATGAACACGTTTTAATACAAGATCACCTTCATGTTCTGCTTAGTAGCATAAATCCTAGACACTGCACTTACAGCAAAACATAAGAAGTTTAGTAGTACTTTCCAATATTTTCACTTTATTGATTTCACTAGAAACCTTTTTTTATCTGTTTGGAGTAATTCAGTGTATTTTCATCTGTGGCTGGACAACAGAACTGTTGTATTGCTAAGTATATATCCATTTTCTTCTTATTTGAGAAACTTGCAGAACCCAGGGTTAAAGGAAGCAGCAGAATGAAGAGAAGATGTGTATTTTAGAAGTTGTATTGTCTTCAAATGAAATAGCTGTCAAGACAAATTCTCTCCCTCCCTTCTTTTGAAAATGCAGAATTCTTTGTCATAAAAATGGAGTTACTAGTCTTCGCAATTGCACATTCCACAGCCGAAACAAAAGATTTCAAGCCATTTTATGAGGACATAGTACAATGTAACTATAAAATGTCACGCACACCAACTTGGGGGTTGTAGATTTCATTGCTTCTGGGGACCTGGCTTTTTATATCTTCCTGTTCCTAGGGTTTGAGCCTTTGCATGGGTTTCAAAAGTCATTCAGTCAACCGCTTCTGATGAGGTAGGCTTAACTGCACCTCAAACTTCCTGAAATGATGTTTATATAGCATGTCTTAAAAACCATTCTGTTCTAGAGACTGAAAAGTTTACACAGTTATTTGTTTTGGTGCATCACTGTCCTTACTTTTAGACTCCTAATGTCTTGCCTAAATCCCTCTTGCTTCAGGTTAAGTCCTTTATTCTTTGTACTCTCCCCTGTGGAGATTATAGTACACTTCATTCCTTTTATCTCGGATGAAGTGTTGCATGCTTGAAGATGGTGTGTCATAATGTTCCCTCAGACTTTTCTCAGATCTAAACCAAACAGCCTAAATTCTTTCCAAGTCTGTGGATGCATTTCCTATACCTATTGCCAATTCTTTTCTCTCTTCTAGACTTGCTCTAATGATTCTGCCTTTTTTGTGAACTGTGGCACTCAATAACCAAGACTTCAGCTGAGTTCTCTAAGAAAAATGGGTGAATCTCCATAAATGTCTATGTAGTGCTCTGACAATATACCTCAGTGTAACACTTTATATTTTCTTCAACGCTGTGATGATGTGCATTGCAGGGTGAACATGAATCAGCTGTAGCTGCTAGATCCTTCTTGGCACAAGTCCTATCAGTCCTCACTCTATAGCTATGCATTTTATTGTTTCTGTGAGTAGAACTTAACAGTAGTTTCTTTTGTCACCTTACCTAACTCGGATATCATTACGTGTCTTCATGACATTTCCTTCTATCTCAGGGATTATTTGTCATCTCCATCTGGGTTCCTGGGAGTGTCTCCAGCTTGGTGTGGCAGGGTGCTTGCTTCAGAACATCGGGAATCTTGTACTTTGAGGTCTTCCTTTCATCTTACAGATTCACTTGTCGCTTTGTTCCGTGACTGCCTCTCTCCTTCCTATCCCTGTTGGTGTGAGAATCGTCACTTTAAGGTTTTACCATCCTAGGACCGTGTGAATGCAGCTGAGATGAGGAAGTTCCAATAAGATAGTCGTGGCTAACATTTGCTAGCTCTTTCATCAGTAGAGCTGTTTGGGTTGGCTGTGTAGCTAATGGAATGTTTGTATTCTTTCCCTATCCAGTTTTAACCAAAATTGGTGTATGCAGCCAGTGAAGTTCATTTAAATCTTTGCATAGAAGCTCAAGACCATCATGATGTTTAACATCACAGAATAGACAGTAGAATATAGGATCTTGCTTAGTTCTGCTTGTAATAAATGAAACTGATGTAGTCTCAACTTAATTTTTTTTTCTTTTATGTTGTTGGTGTGTTGAAATTGGAGTCCTGCTGCTGGATTTCCATACTTGGCACCTGTCCATTGAACCCATCAGGCCTGCCCCTTCATTTTCCTTTCCCTGTGCCAGCAGTTGCATCACTCTGGCAGTTTATTGCCTGTCCCTGGGTTCAATTGCTACTTCAGATCTGTCCTTCATGCTGAGTTTCCCAGCCTACTTAAGTATGAAGTTCCTACTCTCTTCGTCCTCCTGGTATAAGTAACAAGTCAGTAACACAGTTACTATTTTAATGACCTAGGTAATTACCAAGTAAGAACCATTTATTTAAATGATGATAGGAATTTCATAAGTAAATAGATTGATAAGGGTTTTTTTTAGAAAGGAAAGAAGATACATGGGGATGGATAGATAGATAGATATTATGTGTGCATTTACTATATATACACTAGTATATTTGTCACAATTTCAATGTACAACTTAAAATTGCTTTCTAGAATTACAAACAGTGTCAAACTTTTTGAATCTTATGTACCAGAAGCATACATTATTATATAATAATGTTGTAAACTAAATTGCATTTCTTAGTATAACAGTTGATTAATTCTGCGTTTTATTTTACTTGAATAAACATCATGAATGTGCTAAGACAGACTGTTTTGCTGAGCAGTTTCTTCGTTCATAAATAATTTTTTCAGAAGCAAACTTTTTTTGTTTATTCAGTAGTCATGACTTAGTTAAGAATGTTTGCATTTTCGAAGGCTGTAAGATATACAATAAGAAGTACGCTTGTGAGGATGAGCCAGTGAGAACTAAAGCATTCTGTGGTCTGAATGAGAGGAGTAATACAAAATCGGCATATGTAAATTAAAGTCAGGTAACTATAGATTTGTAGAAGTGGTATTATTCTTAAATTGTTCTTAATACCTTTATGAAATTCATCCTTCAGCCTAACACAGGAAACTCATGTGTGTCTCAAACACTTTGGGTAAAAGTCAGCTTCCTCCTCCCCCCCCGCAACCTCAGACCGTGAGCACAGAAATCAGTTGGTCAGGTAGGACACTTCAGTAGATCAGTTTCATGAATGAATTCCACTACTAATTGCTATAAAATAAACAGTTTAGGTTTGTATTAACACTATAAAATTGAAGTGAAAAAAGTATTTCAGAACCAAGTTAGTGTTGAATTTAGTAATGACTGTGAGAGAAGGCAAAGTGATCATACTTGTAGAATAACTGCATGAAAATTTGACAGCTTTTTATTTAAAAAAAAAAGTAAAAAATGCCCATGTAAGAATTTACAAAGCATGAAGATATTTTAAAACAAAACAAAAAATCTACATTAATTTGTTGGAGTATACGTACATTTGTATAATCTATTACCAACTGTCAGGAATGCAAACTGTGCAGACAAGCTGATTTTTTTTTTAAAAGAGGAGTTTAGTCTCAGACTGTTCCCCTTCTATTATGACTTCTATTGAGATCTCCGCTTTATAAACCTGTGATCTAGGGTTCGAGTCATACGTGAGCTGTTGCAGCTTAATGAGTTACTGTGTCAGCTGAGATGCGGAAAAAGACCTTGGACCTCCTGCAAGTGCAGAAAACATGAGCTAAAACACATTAGCTTAAATCTCCAAAACATTTTTATTTTACATTTGCTACAAACTAAAAGCTTGCATGGAGTAGGTTATCATGGATCAGCCGTTATTTAGAACTGCATTTTTCTGACATGTTATGCTAGGTAAACCCTCCGTGACATAAATCAATCGCACCATTCCACGTGTGGTGGTAGTATCTGGCAGCAGGTCTTCACTGTATTGTCTTTATTCATGCCGATCAGGAACCATGTATACGTGAAAACAGCATTTCTAAAGAGAATCCTGTATTGTCTGCTCCAAATCCCTTGCATACCAAAGAAAACTGTTGTGTTGATCTGCTTTCTGAAAGCAAGCAGAAGTCAAAGATTTGGAGTTTTAATATTAAAGTGATGTAATCACTGGTAATATGATAGATCATAAACTTCTGAGCATGTAGGGTGGTGGTATAGATTAGTACAGATTAAGGAGCTAGGGAGATGCAAACAAGTTGAATAATTTAATGCAGGTGTGAATTGGAGTTGACCTTGATAGACTTTTGTGTAACAGTGGGAGCTTTTGTTAACCACATAACTGTCAGCTAGGTTATGAGTTCTCTTCTGGAAAATACTCACCATATAAAGGAACTTACTTCTCAGTCTAACTTTCTTCTTTATTGTTGTGCAAGAATTTCATTGCTCTTACCTGACTAGAGACTATCTAAAGGAATACTCCTGTCTGTTAAGTAAGTTACTGGAGTAATCCCATGCTTCTCTGTCACCATGTGTGGCTGCTGGATTGAGGCTTCCTTCATATTCGGTTGTGACTCCCATTACTACTTTGAGAAAAACAACTCGTCTCCAGTGGAGGTGAAGTGCTTGTATGCGTCTACCTGCAAAAGGGTAGAAAATACACCACTTTTTAGAGTGTAATAGGTAGTGTGTGTATCACGGGATCATTTAATCGCTGTTGACCTTTCTAGCCTTTCTCCTGCTCTGTCCAGGCTGTAGAAGAGAACCATGCTTGCATGTGACCCAGGCTGTGGTATTATTTTTAGCCCAAATTACATTGTTCTCAACTTGGCAGCTCATATATCAAAACTCCTCTGGGTGAGACTTCTGCTGGTGGTTCTTTTGAATTGCTTTAGTACTTCTGAAGGAGAATTTCAGGCATCTGAATTGAAGTATCCTTCTGATATGCTGGAAGATCTGAGCTGACTAGAAAAGACAGAAGAATAAAATAAGGAAGTACTGCTTTTGTGGTCATAGCGTTTTTCCATACTTACAGGTCATGACAGATTGCCCAGTTTGCTTTACAGGTAAGAGTGCTTCCTTTAAAGGCTCACTAAATAAAATAGAAATTCAACCATCTTTATTTGGGGGAAACAAGGCTAAGTTGAAAACTAGTTTTTGAAGATGCTGGTGTTAACAGGGAAGTGGCTTTTACAACTTCTGTTCAGTTTCAGCTTTCTGTGAGGACAAGTCATCCCACTTTCTGTTTGTACACAGCTATGACAATGATATTTGTATCCTAAATTCAGTGTTTTATTTTGATCCAATGAGAAATGTCACGGACAAGTAAGCCCAGGGAAACAGAAGAAGCTGTCTCTACAGTGAGTCAGCCCATCCGGGAGAAAAGTCAGAAGTGAGACGGAGAAGCTCTTTGGCTGTGAGTAGTTGAGCTGGCCTGTGGAAGGAGAAATGCAGATAGGCATCTCTCTCTCTCTCTCTCTCTTTGTGAGCAATCATCAGTTTCAAATCTGTGTCTCTTTCTTCGAGAGTCTTTTAGCTTCTGTGCCCAAACCCCAGGCTGGAGAGCAGTCCCTTTCGTAGCTCTTTGGGTAAATTTTGGCCTTGGAGGAGGGAGGCTGAAAGCAGCCAGTGCTCCGTGTGCGTGTCTCTCTAATATTGCACATAAAAGTATCTCTTGCACTTTCCCCTCTCTGTCTGACTGACTTGCAAAAGGAGATTTTAGGCCTTTGAAATCATGATCACCAACTACCTTGGCTATTCTGAATGGGCAGTTGATGGACATTCCTGTTGGCCTGGGCTGCTCTGAAGGTGTGGCTGTGCCCGATGTGGGGGGGGATGATTGGTGTCATGGTGTGATGTGGGTAGTGAAATCCCTCCTTACTCAGGAGCGGGAGTGCAGTCGCTACCCTCAGGAAACAGCAAGGTTTATGGGGAATGCTAGTATCTAATTATTGAGGTAATGGGAGCTGGAGAGGAAGGCAGAAATAGGTTGTTCTCACCTTCGTTACCCAGTCAGTAGCCCGTCCCGCCCCTACGTGTCCAAGTATGGATCCTCATTTTGCCTTCAGTATTTGTTTTCTTATTTCTCCTGTTGAGATGGGATTCTTCAGGTAGACAGAAGTTGTATTTAAATACATGCAGAAGAGGAATGCACAGACAGAATAGAGAAGAATTAGGTTAAGTAAGGAAATCTCCCACATGTTATGAAACCACCTGAAAGTATTTGGCTGACCAGTGCACAGAAATACTTGTAGAATTTGGGGCTGTATTGGGAAAACTCCGCACGTGTTTCTCCATGAGGAGAGAAAAACAACTATGCTCGGTTAAGGTATCCTTTTTAAGAGAAGGTTGTCTTCATCGTGTGTTCCCAGGAACAACTGATTACAGTAGCTGTAGTAATACATTGAAGTGTGTTGCTTTAAGAGGGCTTTCAGAAACCATGGCTTGCTAAATTTGTCCCACAGTTTTGTGAAACTTAAGATCATTAGGAGGAAGGAAGACTATTGCCCATCATATCTTAGCAAGGAGCAAGCTGCTGAGGTTTTTATCCGGCTTGGAGGCGGAAGGGAGCTGCTTACAGGGTTAGTGGTTGGAAGAGTGCAGGGCACAGAAGGGATGGACTGGAATGGCGTTCAGCAATCCGCGTGGGCTCTCTCTCCTCTACAGTAAGACTTGCCTTTCGTTCTGTTTCACTTTTAATTTTGAGAAAGATAGTTTTGCTTTTCAGATGTGATTGATCTCACTGGAGATGATAAAGATGATCTTCAGAGGGCAATTGCCTTGAGTTTGGAGGAATCAAACAGGGCATTCAGGGAGACTGGAATAACAGATGAGGAGCAAGCCATTAGCAGGTAAACGAACAACTTATATAAAGCAGAAATTAAATTAAAGAGTTGGAGATTGGCCTGTATTGCTTTTTTTTTAACTTTTAATTTAACAAAGAATAACTTGTTTACTGTCACTTGTGCTACTGATATGCCTGGCTTCAGGATGTTGCTTGAATATATTGTATGTTCTGCACTGGAAAATAGTCTATTATGTGTGGGCTAGGATTTAATGGTATGTTTCATGTTGATGTATTTGTTTAAATATTGAGGAAGTGGATGGAGATAGAGGATATATGGTCATATTTAAATAGGATCTAAACCAAAAAGTTTCTCTTGTGTATCAGGTAAAAAGCAATGAAAACAAAATATAATTAATAAGCTAATACATTCCTTGTCCTGTTTATTTTTGCAGTGTTCACTTTCAAATAACATTTTCTTACTTCTGTGCTAAGGCTGAGATGAGAGAGAGAGTAGTAATTCTTTGCCTTGAGTATACTAAGAGCAGCTTCTGTATTTTAGCTGATAAGTATGTTATTAACATATTTAACAAATAGGATTTATAAGCTTTGAGTGAATTTCACTTCTTGGTTTAAAGTTTTATGAACTTAACGTTCTCAATTTGAATGTGATAGCAGTCTGTAAGTTAACTTGATCAGATTTTACAGTAACTTTTTGTACGGTGTGTGTGTTTATATGTAAATAAAGATATAATTATAAAATATTTGGGACTTGAACTAGGCCTGAGGGTAGGGTTGTGTGGGAGTTCAGGTCTTGCGTGTTCCTTTTTGAAGGACAGAGTTGTTGTAATTAGAGAGGTGTGTTTAAGGCAGGCACTCAGCAAGATGGACCTATTTCTGGATATGGAAATCTTTTTCCCTTTTTTTCCCTTCCCCAAGCTTTGATTGTTTCTGCTGTGCTCACTGCTTGAGAGCCTCAAAGCTTTAGGTTTTGTCCTGTGGACTTTGTTTTCACTTTTTGGACTAAAAAGCCCTTTTTGAGATTACCTGCCTTAGCCCATAACTAAGTATCATAAACACACTGTAGTTAAATTATGGTATATTTTTTTCTGGTTGTAGAAAATTGTAAAATATGCCTTTTTTTCCCTGTGTATACAAAGACATATAGACAATCAGGAAAAATGTTGGTCTTCTGATGAAAAAGATTTATATTTGATGGCAAAATTACACACAATAGCATGTGCCAAGTTAAGAGCTTGTTGCTACCAAGGGGAGTATGGCCTGCACACTGTACCACGTCTTCTATACTTGCTGTAGTATTCTTTGGAGCATTTGGTTGCATGAATTCATCTCCCAAAGCCATATAAAAATACTCGCTAAAAGACTTGTATCATGGCACAAGAAAGGGAAAGGGGACTTTGCTTGTGAATGGAGACAGAGAAGAGTGAGAATCTTGAAGGTTTATGCAGCACTGGTGTATTAGATCAACTCGGTTACATACCACGATACACCCTGATTTAAAGGCAAATTATGTCAGAGTTGTACAAATACAGGAAGTTCAGAAATCTTAAATTCGTGACCTGAACTGTCCTTAAGTACAGGACTTAAGAATGTTTTTTTTAATAGAAAAATCACTTCGTCGTGTACACCCCACAGAAGAATGTTGGCATTCCAATAGAAAGCACGGTATCTGTGCAGGACTTCTCAGAATGAAAAGTAGAACACTGTGGTTGTAAACAAGTCAAGCTGAAGCCATTTACTTTTTTTTTCCCCCCCTAAATAAAAGCAGAAATCAAATAGGAAGTTAATAATAAGCGAATTAAACTATAGTAATCTTTAATTTTTAATAATGTAAGATGTGTGCATATTTAAATAGTCTTTAGTGTGGAGGATATTGTTGTCCAAAGGTATTCATAGTGGTTTGAAACCTCATTTGCACTGGTTTTGTTAAGGTTTCCAAGGAAGCATTAATGGAATTTCTTGACTTGTGTAATTAATGTTGTAATGCACATAGAATTTGTCTTCCAGAATGTAATTGCCTGCTGCTACTTAATGAGGACAGATCTGATTACGATACAGGTGTTGAGAGGAGTGCAGGTGAAATGTCCAAGTGTCCAAGCTGAAGACCTTACATGTGGTGCATTTAAAGTTTTGTACTATTCTCTCTTTAAATCTCCCAGGGAAATGTGCATGGTCACTGTATTGCCTAAAATGACAAAGTTTCTCCTGTTTAGGTTACAGTTCGTGGATTGAAGGAGCGTTAGGCTGGCCAGATAGGGCTTCACTGGGGAAGCTAGCAAGATATGACTGAAAGGAGAAATTAGCTGGCCTGTGTTTTGCGTGGGGTAGTAGTCATATCGTACTGTGAGTACATGAGGATGTGCACAACCCCTAGACATTTTTTCTTTTTTTTTTTTCTGAACACTGTCATTGAAACTGCTGGGGACTCTGCACTGTGGCTGAGCGTTGTGTGTGTAGGTCAAGGGTGAAACTGGGAAGGGATGTAGGGTTAGGGGTGTTCCTGGATGTCCAGCTATGAGACAGTCTCAGTATAAAGACTTTTCCTTGTGCTTTTTGCTGAGTAGCCTACCAGAGTGGGCTTTTCTGCAGCATGTGTAGTGGGCTTCCTCAGCATGGTTTGGCTGAACTTTTGTGCTGTGGATCCACTTTGCCCAAGGCTTATTGCATTGTCTGGCTAGCCTCATGCAGGCAGCTCTGGAAAGCTGCTCGGCAATGCCCAGCTTTTTACGGAGAGAAATAAAACACTGCTTTCAAGTCCCATGTCAAGCCTGGCATTAGCTAACCCTCACTCCAGAGCTTCCCTGCAAACAATATTCCAGCGCTTGGAGGTGGGGAAGCCTTCGGTCTCGTGAGGCTAGGGACATGCCATACTCTGCAGGTAGCTCATGGCTCTGCTGGTAGCGACTGCTGCTGTGGTCTCCGAGGGTCACAAAGAGGGTGCTTGGTATGAATATAATATAGTGAACATTATAGTGTAAGAGGTATACTCACTATGCTGGTAAATCCATTTATTTATGTAGCTCTTGAGCCGATCGTTAGGTTCCTGTTTGCTACGCTCACTTTTATTTCAGTTTGCATCACAGCTGTCTTTGTGGCTGGAAATTAATTTGGCACATAGGGTGTGCAGCTATTGCATGTGCTGTCTGAGGATAGGCACAGTTAGAAGTGAAAATAAGGACAAATATCGTGAAACTCTGAGAATCAAATACTTTTTTAGGACATGGAAATAGATTTCAGATGGAGCTAGAGATGAGGAGATCCCTTACCCACTAAAGAAATACAAAAACAAATACAGGAAGAAATTTCAGTAGGTAATTAAGTTGATAAATGGTAATACAGTTGGGGCAAGGGAACTGTTTCAGTTTGAAAATGTGTATTTTGCTGAATATGAATCCTGAAATATCTTGAAATATTCTTGAGCTTGAGAGGGAAAAAGAAAGTTGGATTACTTCCTTGAAACAAAAGTGGTATGGAGTAGGAATCGTAGTCCTGTTACAACATCATTCTAAATTTATTCCAGTCTGTCAGGGTCTTCCCATCAGTTTTAAAGGTCCCTTCAATTTAATTTAAACACGAGTTTAGTAGTTCTGCTTAAATGAGAAATTATCTAAGTATGACATTTGTTTTGAATTAATTTTTAATGTCCCCATCAAGTAACTTTTACTCTCAAAGCAGAGACACCCCGGTCATCTAACACTTTTGAAGGATTGTATCAATGAGAAGGGAAATGAATTTGGCTGTTTCTTTATGTTTTGGGGTTTGCTTAGGAGATACCATGATCATTGCTAGTCTAAGAATCTTTTACCACTGAAGAGTCAGGTTCCATCCCTGTACATTGTTAGAAGAGATGTTAGAGCAGAAGGAATTAGAGGATTATATACCTGTCCTTTCAGTGTCTTTCGCTGTCCAGTCAGAAAACAGATCTGCTATTTACAAGGTTGTATGTCAAAAAAAGAATGTCAGAAATTGATTAATCCTTAGGAAATTACAAGTTTCGAGTTCTTCCTGAGATATATTGGTACAAAATTGGTATTTATACCAAATGAGCGCTCAAATTCTGAATTGCTTCTATTTTTTTCAAAATAAGTAGCAATAATAAATTAGTATGTCCCCCAAAGCAGCTATCTACAGTAAATTAATATAATGCTTCATAGTTCTGGTATATCTTGTAAGTTACATTTTCTTACTTTGACAAGAGGATAAGTTGAAACAAAAATTTACAGTTAGGAAACTGAGGGGTGGGGTTTTTGTTATTTTTTTTTCACACCCCCCCCCCCCCTTTTCTTTGTTTGTTTTTTTTTCCTAAGGTGTTCAAACTTTGTCCTTTAGTAAGTCCACTTACAGACCAACCTAGACCTGCCTTTCTTTGATGCTTAGTGAGTCTAGAACCGAAGGGGGCAACCCTTCAGGCTGCACGGACTACTTCAGTGCTTGTCAGGCAGCTGAAGCGATCCTGTGCTTGGCAACCGGAGTAGTTCAATAGCAGCTCAGCCTTTTGTATGATACTTGGGCTAAATGGTTGGGGATAGTAACTGTGTCAGTAGTGCACACGCCAGGCAGTTTTGCTTATTAGAGCCGTTGTTAGATGACCTGAATGTATCCATCTTCATCTTTCTGTTGAGATATGTGGCTACCAGAAATTACCATTAAGGTGTTCTTTGTAACCAGGTTAAGGATACGTGCTGATATAGAAGTACTGTGTTGAGTGAAGCTTGAGTTTGGGAGCATAATACGCATCACATCTTACTGTCATGTGAAATATGGACATTCAGCATAAACCACATAGGAATAGTTTCCTGCAAAGAGTGTGGTCACTGAAGCGCACAATTGACTTGGCTGGCATTTGAAAAATTGTGGGGAGATGGCTTTCCATGGCTCATAAAGTAATTACTTGCTATGTGAAGTGATAAATACAGTTGCATAAGTTGCAAAAATGGAAACTAAAAAAGCATCTTCCATTTTTAAAAGTTGCCTAGCCAGCTTTGGTTTCCTGTCAGTAAAGTGGATATTGATGACTTTGTGCTTTGCATACCGATACGAGCATTTGCAGATGAAAGTGCTGCACTGATAGTGCCGCCTAAAATTTTTCGTTGTCCATCCTGTTTGAATCTGTTTCTTAAAGAAGTGATGACTTAGACATGGCTCTTGTATCTAGAGCTCTCACAGGAGATTCACTGACTCAGTTATACCGTTTTCCAAAAGGTAATGGAATTACTGTAACATATCTAAAGGTAAAATAGCCTCTTACTTTTGAAGACATATTATTGCATATAAATTTAAAACCAAGTTAGACAACAATAAGTTAGTGAATGATGTAATTATGATGTCTATGTTAGTAACTGAAGGTGTTTTACTATGTCTTTTTTTTTTGCTTTTTCTCACCTTTTTCCCTCCCTTCTGTTCCCGAAGAGTTCTGGAAGCCAGTATTGCAGAAAATAAAGCAAGTTTAAAGAGGACGCATCCAGAGGTATGGAGTGACTCTCCAAACCCTTATGATCGAAAGCGGCAAGACAACTGTCCAGTAGGATTAAAGAATGTTGGCAACACGTGCTGGTTTAGCGCTGTCATTCAGGTAAGCACCATCTTCGATTAGCTTTGTACGCTCTTCATTGTATTTAGCGTGAGGCGAGTTACCTTATTTTAAGTGGATAACTTAAGATACCTGTTTTCCTGGGAATTGTGTAGGCCACTGCATGAGATGTTTTTGAGCATTAATTACTTATTACATCTCTTAACATGTTCAGCCATAAGTCTGATTGAAGTGTAGAAAGTACTGTAGCCTCACTAAGTGAAGCTTCGAAATGTTTCATTTAAAAAGTTGTTGAAGGGAAGGAGTTGAGTCTCTGAAGATCCTGGGTGTCTGCAGCTCATGCTGATATCAATGACAATTGTGGATGCCTAAAAACATGTGAAAATTGGATTGCAGATGTGGAACATAATTTTATATTAAACAGAACGCATGCAAATAACTGAAAAGAGGTGGCTGGCAGTGGAGGTATGTGGAGGAGATGAGACACTCAATCATGCAGTGCTTACTAGAATAGCTACAAGGAAATAGCTGAGTAGGGTAAAAGGAGGAGTAATTGACAGGGAAGGAAACTTGAGAATGAGGAAAGTGAAGGTCTGATATAGATGCAGTTGTCTGGATTGATTGTTTTACCTAATACAGCCAGTATGTGTGCTCTTGGTCTGTTGTGTATATGTAGCTGTATTAAAAGCTACCTTTTTTTTTTTTTAAAGTACGGTCAATAGGGAAATGAGTACAGATACTGCAACTTCTCTAGTAAAATCTAATGTAATATCGATAATTCATGGTACATAAACTTTATGAATCTGTCTTTTAAGAGATTCTTTTTTTAGAATTGATTTCTAAATCTGTATATGTTTCTGCAAATAATATGTAGATACATTGAAAAGCATTTGAAACCACAGAAAACTGGGTAAAACTGGAGTACAATAGAGGGAAATTTATTTTCAGTCTACAAAAAGCAAATTCAGCATATTGTAACTTTTTGTAGTCTGTCATTTTGAGAGGAAGCAAATAAAATATGTAATAGTCATTCTTAACAAGTTACTGTCAGGTTGAAGCACTTCAGGTAAGCTAATATTGTAACTTTTGTAGTGATGGCTGTTGTACTTCAAGCTGAGTGCATTTGGATTGATGTTCTGCCTAGCAATTTCTGAAAGTGGATGCCTACAGAGGAGTACAAACAGTACACATGGTACTGCTCTGTTAAAATACTCCCAAGTCTCCAACTGCTTTCATCTTTGGGGATTTTTTTGATGCTTTGCAGTTTTAGTTGGTAATCCCCAGTGGACCTTTGTTTTATGTCCTTGTCTCCCTTGAACCTTGCAAAATTCTTGCACCCATAGGCTCCTTTCGGTATCAGTTCCACAGTTGTGCTCCCTATTGCATGAAGAACCACCTTGTTCTTGTTTGTTTTTTTTGGAACTTGGCTCCCACAAGCTTTGTGTGGTGGCCACCATGTCTCCGCCATGTCTTAGGGCTGCGAGGATGATGAGGGGACTGGAGCATCTGTCCTATGAGGAAAGGCTGAGGGAGCTGGGCTTGTTCAGCCTGAAGAAGAGAAGGCTGAGAGGAGACCTTATAAATGCTTATAAATATCTCAAGGGTGGGTGTCAGGAGGATGGGGCCAAACTCTTTTCAGTAGTGCCCAGCGACAGGACAAGGGGTAACGGGCACAAATTGAAACATAGGAAGTTCCGTCTGAACATGAGGAAGAACTTCTTCCCTCTGAGGGTGACAGAGCCCTGGAACAGGCTGCCCAGGGAGGTTGTGGAGTCTCCTTCTCTGGAGATATTCAAGACCTGCCTAGACATGGTCCTGTGCAGCCTGCTGTAGGTGACCCTGCTTCGGCAGGAGGGGTGGGCTAGATGAACCCCAGAGGCCCCGTCCCACCCCTACCATTCTGTGATTCCTGTTGGACAAGACTGTTAAAAGTTGATTGCCATTACAGTTCTGTGGACTGCTGTCGTACTCTCTTTCAACAGATGAGTGGTCTCTTTTTCCAAGCTGACTGCTGAGTTGTTGCCTGTATAGAATCTGTTCTAACCCCTGAATTGCCTTGTTGTTCTCAAGGCTCTAGTAGTGGTTTAGTTAGGGGACCAGGAAAGTTCTTGAGGTGTGAGTGGGCTATGGATTTATGAAGTGGTATGATGGACAGAGACAGGCTCTTCAGGGAAGACAAGTAGGGATGACAAGCAAGGGCGTTGCCTTGCTTATGTAGGAGCAGCTCAAATGTATGTGCTACCTGCGTGGGATGAAATAGTAGTTTAAGATGAGAGTTGGTGGGTCAGGATCAGAGGAGAGGCTGGTAAAGGTACCACCCTGGTTAGTCTGTTACAGACCACTCTCCTCAGGATGAGGATGTGGACAAAGTTTTCTTTAAGGGCAAGGAAGTCTCTGGATCACAGTCTGTGGTTCTCCCGGGGAACTTTATTAAACATCCTGACACCTGCTATAAGTCCAACACAGCAGGACACAAGAAAACCAGGTTTCTGGAGAGTGAGAGGGACACCTTCTTGATACAAGTACTAATGGGCCAACCAGGGGTGATGCACAGATGAGTCTGCTGTTCCCTAAAATGGGATAACTGACTGGAGATGCAGTAATGTGAGTACTCTTGACTGCAGTGACCATGAAATAATGGAGTTCAAGATCCTGATGGGAGTGTGGAAGGAGTAGCAGGGTACAGACCTTAGAGTTCAGGAGAGCAGACTTTGGCTTCTTCAGGAAATTGGTATCTGGGATTCCATAGGAGGCAGCTCCGAAGAGCAGAGGAGCTCACGAAAGCTGGCGGCATCCTCTAATTGCAAGAAGGGTCCATTCTGCTGCTCAGGGAACTCATTGCCAAGCTCCAATGCAAGCAAGCAGCGTGCAGGATCTGGAAACAGAGAGGGGCTACTGAGGAGGAGTTTGGAATGTTGCCCAGGTGTGAAGGGATGGTGTTAGGAGAGTTAAAGCTAACCTACAGTTGGTGCCACAAGGGATGTCTAGGGTAACAAGAAGAGGTTTTGATGCTACACTAATCATAAAAGGCTGAGCAAGGAGAACGTGGTTCTCTTGCTGAATAGAGCAGGTGATTTAGTGACAGCAGGCTTAAATAAGGCTGAGGTACTCACTGCCCTGCTTTTCCTTAGTCTTCACCAGTGAGGTCTCCCAGTCGACCGTGCTTAGTTGGGGTGGAGGAACTCAGAACGGTGGTTAAGGATTGATTCAGAAGTTACATGAGGAACCTTCACTCATATAATTCCACAGGACGCACTGAGCAGCATCAGTGATGCTGAGAGAATGGGGTAAAGCAAGGCCACTGTCTATCATCTTTGAAAGGTCATGGAGAATCAAAGAGGTTTCTGATTAACCGCAGACCAGCCAAAAAGTCAATCTGGGAAGCTATGGGATGGTCTGCATTAGCTGAACATTGACAAGATGGAGCTGGGCTTTTCACAGCAGTGTGTATTGGGTGGATGAGGGACAATGGGAGTAAGTTGAGGTAAGAGAGATTCAGCCTGGGTATAAGAAGCATTTTTCCCCGTGAGGACAGTAAGGTAGTGGACATTGACCAGAGAGGCTGTGCAAGCTCTGTCGAACCTTGAAGGCTTTTCAGACTTGCCTGGAAAAAGCTCTGAGCAGCCTGGTCTGATCTTACAGGTGACCTTCTGCTTTGAGCAGCAGGTTCAACAAGAGACAATCAGTCCCTTCTGAGCTGAATGACCCTATGATTCTGTAGTAGTGTTTTCTGTTTCATTCTGTCTTGCTTTCTTGATTACTTTATTCTGCTTTGAACTACTTCATGTGTTGAACTGATACTTTGAATTTATGACAAATAGTTCCATGAAAGTTGTGAATCATAGAATGCTTTGTGTCTGTCACTTTCTAGAAATTTTAGGGTTGCTTTCTACCATGTGAGTCGCTGTATACTTAACTGTGTTCACTTTAGCTTTCTTATTACATAGTCACTCAGATCCTTCTGTCAGTTCATCTTTGCCAGCTCTTGTTTTTACTACATTGCGTATCTCTGTACTGAGCAAACTTGGTCATCTTGCCTCTCACTTTCTTTTCTAGATCGCTTCTGAATTTTGCTTACTAGCACAGACTTCATGAATTTGCAGTAACCTACCTTCAGGCTGGAACAGATAACTTGCTTCTGCCCTCTTTTTCTTTTTGATTGCTCATTTGTTGTGCCTGGACCTTCCATCTTCACTCATCAAGGCTTAGTTAAAAGCTTTTGTTGAATGACGTCTTCAGAAATTACCTTGAAATCACAGTAGACTACATAAATTGGATTGCTGTTATTCATGTTCTTTTTGACTTCTTGGTCTTGGGTGAGATTTTTTTTTTGTTTGGTTGTGGTGGAGTGTTTTTTGTATTTTTGGTTTTGAGGTTTTTTTTATAGGCAGGATTTACTTACCTGCAGGTAGTACTTGGGTAACACTATAGATTATGAAACAGAAAGACTTCTTCGTTTGTTCTGCCATCTCCCTTCCCACTGAAGTTTTCTTTCTTTCAGCATTTAGTAATCTAGCAGGTGTTTGGATTTTCTGTTTTCCTGAGATGTTTTGATATTTCCTTTGTTCATGTCTGCTCCTTTCCTGATTCCTTCACATGCGTAGCTCTTTTTCTGATAGCGGAAACATTGTCTTGGTGCTAATATAGAGAAACATTTTATTTCCCTTGGTCGAGGAGGACTGTGTGAGGGATCGCTTAAGCGATCTGGATGTCCACAAATCCATGGGCCCCGATGGAATGCACCCACGAGTGCTGAGAGAGCTGGCGGATGTCATTGCTGAGCCACTCTCCATCATCTTTAGGAGGTCCTGGAGGACAGGAGAGGTGCCCGAGGACTGGAGAAAGGCCAATGTCACTCCAATCTTCAAAAAGGGCAAGAAGGAGGACCCAGGGAACTACAGGCCGGTCAGCCTCACCTCCATCCCTGGAAAGGTGATGGAGCAGCTTATCCTGGAGGCCATCATCAAGCAAGTGGAAGAAAAGAAGGTTATCAGGAGTAGTCAGCATGGATTCACCAAGGGGAAATCATGCCTGACCAATCT